ATTTAAAGGCAACTTAAATTAAATGTATTGTAAGTGGTACTTTCTGTTTATTTGAAATATGCAAGAAACAACAATGAAGGAGATCTTTATATGTGGGGGAAAACATACACACATAGATACATCTTTGTCCCCCATCTTCCCATTAACACACATTTATAATTGTTGTTCATTAATTTTTCTTTTAAATTATATACGGAGAAAAAAGAGGAGATACAAACAAAATTATAAAAATATTGCCTTTACATTTATCTATGTAGTTACTATTGGTCATTACTTTTTTGTGTGGCTCTGAGTTACTGTCTGGTGCCACTACTTTTCAGTCTGAGAGATTCCCTTTAGAGTTTTGGGGGAAAATAGATGCATAACATATAAACACCCTCAACTTTGGTTTATCTTATAATGTCTTAATTTGTCCCTTAGTTTTAAAAGTAGTTTTGCCAAATATACAGTTGTTGATTGACAGCTTTTCTGCTGTTGTTGTTGTCCAGCACTTTAAATATTTCATCCCACTGACTTCTGCCTTTCATGCCTTCCTGTTGAAAATGACTATTAATAAATTAAGGGTCCTTTACATGTGATTAGTCACTTTTCTTGTCAGTTTTCAAGATTCTTAGTTTGTCTTTGAATGGTTCAATGGTAATATGTCTCAAGGTGGATTTTTCTGTCTATATCCTACTTGATGCTTGTTGAACTTCTTGGATGTGTAGATTCATGCCTTCCACCAAATTTGGAAAGTTGTTGACCATCATTTCTTCAAATATTCTTTCTTCCCTTAATCTTCCTCTTCTCCTTCTGGGACTTATATTATACTTATGTCTTTGCCTTTATTAATATCTCCCAGGTCTCTTAGGACTTTGTTCATTTTTCTTTTCTTTCCTTGTCTTCAGACTGAATCATTTTGATTGACCTGTCTTCAGATCTGCACATTTTTTCTCTTGCCTGCTCAAATCTGTTGATGAATCCCTCTACTGATTTTGTTTTTTTTCTGGAATTATTTCCCCTGTATAGTCATTTATCTGCCCTAAGAGTGTTCTGGATTATATAAAATGCAGACAAGATTTTTAGATTTCTTCTTCAGGAGTCATCTGACAAGTCAAAGCAGTTCATCACTATTTTTAAATAGCAATGTTTACTCTGCTCCCAGGAGCACCAAGAACACATCTGGAAATATGGGCTGCTTTTTAAAGGCTGTCTTTAAGCTAATGATGGGAAGATGAAACAAAGGTGAGCTAAAACATTACAAAGCTCTACTACCAGGTTTAAGTTACTTTTTTCTTAATTAAACATTTGCTTAGTTGAAATAAACATTTTTGTGGAGTAGATCGGTTATCATCTTAAGTTTTCTGTCTTGTTAGGCTAATCTTTTCATAGTCCTTTGGCTAGAGAGCAAGGTTTTGGGGGGCACATTTTGTCTATACTAACAAACATCTCTAGGTTACTGGCTTCTCTGTAGTCCTACTGGGTTACAGGAAACAAAAGAAAACTCAAGGAAATCATAATTCTGTCATTGCTTAGGTCTCAAGTTCACCTGTCTGGCTTCTTTCTACCTCATAGAGTTTTTCTTATGCTTTGTTTTTATGTAAGGCTCAGGACTTTTAGCTGTACTTAGCATGAGGGATAGGCAAAAAATATACATACTACACCTTTCTGGAGACAGACATAACACTTCTTTATTTCTCCTAACAATAACCTCAGACCAGCCTTTTCAGTACATCCTCCTGGTAAATTCTTGGTCAGAATGGTTTTAAAATGTTACTCTTTCATTTTGGACAAACATGATCTTAGGTCATGAGATTAGCTACTACTTACTTGAATATATTGCTCTACAAGTTCCTGTATAGTAGCCTAGTATGGCTGAGGTAGTGAATATAATAGAGCTCTGTAAATGAAATGAAAATGCCCTTGGGCCTGAGACAAGAAGCCATTTTAAAGCTGAGGTGTGTCCTGGCATGTTCAGGAAAGCTGTGCTCTAAACCCATCTCCTAGACTCCCAAAATATTCAGACATGCACTGTGGAGGAGAGATTTTGTCACAGAATGACCAGAAACAACCACAGAGGCACAAGGAACATGAGAAAACAAGAACATATCTCTCCCCTAAGAGAAAAGAACAGTCCCTCATCATCTGCAGACAGTACAGTAGAATTCATGGAGATGTCTGATAGAGACTTCAGAATATTCATAGTGACAAAACTGTTTAAGATGCAAGAGCTGAGAGATAATGAACTCCAGAAGATGCAAGAGAAAAGAGACAATGAGTTCCAGGAGGTGTTGAAGTTCTTTCATGATCTGAAAAAGGAAATACACAGCATAAAAAAGAATCAAATGGAGCTACTAGAGATGAAGGCTGCCATTCAGAAAATCAAAACCTCCCTTGAAAGTATTAAAAACCGATTAGTCCTTGAAAGTATTAAAAGCAGATTAGTCCATGCAGAAAATCTAATCACAGATGTTGAAAGCAAAACCTCTGAACTAGAAAAACAACCAAAAACAAACAGAAAATAACCCCCCCCAAATGAGAATACTATACGAGAAACACTAGACAGCATTAAGCACCCAAACATCTGGATAATCGGTAACCCAGAAGGTGAAGAAACTAATAAGGGCATTGATAATCTATTCCATGAAATCTTGGAAGAAAACTTTCCAAATCTAAAGAGGCATTCAAATATCCAGGACCAAGAAATACAAAGGACCCTAATAGAATCAACCCAAGAAGATCTTCTCCAAGACACATCATAGTCAGACTGGTCAAATCTACAGACACAGACAAGACACTAAAATTGGCAAGAGAGTAATGTCAGGTTACTAATAAAGGTTATCCCATCAGGTTAACCTCTGATCTCTCATCAGAAACAATGTGAGCAAGGAAAGAATGGAAAAATATATTCAAAGTATTGAGTGAAAAACAATTTCAACCAAGAATACTATACTCGGCAAGATTATCTTTCATATGGAAAGAAAGAATAAAAACATTCTCAGATAAACAAGACCTGAAAGAATTTGCCAGTAGCAGACCCACTCTTCAAGAAGTTCTTAAAAGAGTGCTTGACCAGTAAAACTAAAGATACATACAGAAATAAGAGAACAAAAGGCAAACAAGAAAACAACCAATTTAATGCTAGGGACAAGAAATATCAATAACAATGTTGAATGTTAACTTCCAGGATTTAAATGGAAAGATTGGACCACAGCAACACTGCATATTCAACAGAAGACAGTTTGAACATAAGATTGATTTTTTTAACATAATTACTGATTTTTTTTACTGTGCTTTGTTTTCTCAATTTAAATATTTTACTTTCTTTTGAGCTGTTGATAGGCTCAGCAATTTGTTAAAATATTTCTCTTGTTTGTTTCTTTAAATGGAAACAAATTTTTCTTCCTTCCTGACCTCTTTGGAATTGGAAAATATTTGGAAATATTCTTATTTTGTGGCAGAAGGGTTATTTGTATAAGTTCAATAATGCTTGTTGCATTGAATCAGAAAATGGAAATACTCATTATTGGACAGGGCTGTGACTGGAATGTCATACCTGAAGATTAATCAGAAAACTGGAACTAAGGTGGGTCTCAAGTAAGTCAATAGAAGCTCTTAGAAAGATGGCCTGCTACCATAAATAGTTCTTCCTGATAGAGAGGATTAGAGAAGATTTATGAAAGAATTTATAACATAAAATAACCTGGACTTTTCCAGCCCAACATTGTAATTGGTAGAGATTGCAAAAGAGCATTTTCTTGCAGGATTTCCTGGAATAGATTATCAATGCCCTTATGGGTTTCCTCACCTTCTGGAATGCCAATTATCCGGATATTTGGACGTTTGATGGTATCCAGTACTTCTCGCATATTATTCTCAAATTTTTGTGCCATTTTCTCAGCCTTCATGGTGGATTTTTCTAGGCCAGCCATTTTCTCCTCTACATCTGAGATTCTATTTTCTGAATGATCTAGTCTGCTTTTAATGCTTTCCAGGGAGATTTTGACTTCTTGTATTATAGACTTCATCTCTAGCAGTTCCGTTTGAGTCTTTTGTAAAGTGTGTAATTCCACTTTTAGATCTTGCAGGAATTTCCTCATCTCTTGGAACTCGTCAATTTCTTTCTCCTTTCTCTTTAGCAGTTCATTATCTCTCTTCTCTTCCATCTCTGTTAGCTTAGACATTATGAATGATCTGAATTCCTTATCAGACATTTCCATGATTTTCACCGAACTGCTTGTGGATGAAGAGTTACTCTTTTCCCTAGGAGGAGAGGTATTTTCTTGTTTTCCCATGTTCCTCGTGATCCGGCGGTGATTTCTTGTCATCTGATGAATGTTGTGTTTCTTTCAAATTCTTGAGGTTCAGCCTTAATGTTCAGGAGCAAGCACACAGAGGTGATCCAGAAACTCTTTGCTGATCTATTGTGCTTGCGCTAGCTCGTTTGTTGGAGGCTGAATTATTAGTAGAAAGTCTTCATTCCCTTAAAAATCTAGTTCACAGTAGCCATGTGGAACCTTGTTCTGAAGGCCCGCGGCTTCTTCTGCCAAATTTTTTGATATGTAAAGTAAATGTTTGTAGAAAAATGTAAAAATAAATAAATAAATGAAAAAAATTTTAATGCCCTTGTGCCTGTGGTTTTTAATCTTTATCAACAAATGGTTTGAGTGTGCCTAGAAAATACTAGAATAAAAAGCAACAGGAACACATCGATTTTGTTCTTATGGAGGAAAAGTAACAACTGTCATCTCGCAAGTGAAAAAAGAAATCTTAAACCCTAGAAGGTGAGTAGGAGTGGAAAATTAGTGCTCTTGTGAATGCTGATGGTATAGTCCTGAGTCACCACCTCATTGAAGGTAGAATGGCCCTTTTTCTTCTCACCACCCTTCTTTGTGGGAGCCATTCTGCATGGCCTCAGTTGTAAAGAACGCCCATGCCTTTCAATTACCATATGAAACCTGCCAGGCACTAAAGCAAGCAGGGTAAATGCTTATATTGGAACAGAAGCTCCATAGGATACTCTTGTAAAAGTAAGTGAACACTATAGATAAATTCAGATTAAAGTGCATCAGAAGGGGACCAGCTGATGGCGTGGGACCTAAGGTCCTGGATTCCCACATGACCTACTGCAGTTTAATCACCAGACTTGGCAGAAACTCTCTCTCTCTCTTTCTTTCTCTGGTGAGTGCACATGCTCTATAGCAAATTAAATAATAATGATGAATAATTTAAAAAATTTTTAAATACATAAAATAATATTGCTCATGAGGGGAAGATATTTTGTCTGCTTGCTTGTTACTTCTTATACCTTCAGACACACCTGACATTTATTATGTGTTTAATAAGTTGTCTAATAAATAAATTCAATGTACATCTATCCTCCTAGCCTAATAACATGCTCTATTTCCCTGTGATGCCTCCTCTTGTCTTTTCTGTGCCACAGTGAACTTCTAAGAATACCTTTAAACTTTATTCCATATATTTTAAATCTTACTTATTGATTACATTTTTATGCATTTTATCTTACTACCCAATTATGTTATACATATCTTCACAGAAGTCCATTCTGGATAAAAGTAATATTTTATATGCCTTATCAGTAGACCCAATGGTCCTGATTATGGGCAATGTTGCACACATGAGGGCTTCAATATCATCCTAAGGAGGATTAGGATTTTTCTTGCTTTTCTAATAAATTATTAACCACCAGGAGCATATTTTTACTCTTCCTGAACTCAATTTCTCAGTATTAGGGAAGCTTTTATGATAGTTGGAATTATCAGCTAACACTGAGCACTTGTGATGGGCCAGAATTTCACATGCATTAATTCATTTAATCCTCATCACAACTAGGAATCAGAAAGTTAAGTAACCTGGCAAAAGTTACACAGTCATCTGAGATCAGATTTAAACCCGAACAACTTGGATCCTATGCCCTTCCACTTAGTTGACCTTCTACTGATAGCTGGATCTCAAACTGAACTGGTCTTTCTTCCAACCAAAATGAGCATCTTCAATAGCAATAATGCAGCATGACTCTCAGTCTTGGGAACAGCCAGATATAGCAGTTAACTTTACATGTTTAGTGAGGATATCATCATGCTATGTAAACACCGAGGTTCAAGTGTCAGAAAGAGAAACATTAGCTCACTTGTGAAAGTATACACAGTAGAAAATAATGCCCCCCCTCCCGCGCTAAACCTCTTTGATAACCTCCAGGTGCAGGTTTGGGTACTGGCTGCTGGTGCCCGGGGAGCACAGTGCGCCCACCACACAGACGTAGGGAGCTGAGTCGCTGAGCTGGGCGGCTGTGATGAGCAGAGAGCTTCGCTTGGCAGCAGCATCCAGAGTTGCTGTGTACCTTCCATTCGACCGTTTGCTGTCACTGTAAGTCATGACTGTCAGGACAACAGGATCTTTCCCTGTGTCCCATTTGTACCATCTTAAGTTGCCAAAGGGGCTCACGGTGTAATTGCATTGGAGAGTGCAGTTCTCTCCCTCCAGGACTTTCAGGGACTGAGGACTCTGTTCCACTTGGTTTTTCCCACTCGCCCCTATTCAAAAAGCAAAATAAGTCAAGAGATCAATCAGTCTTCTAATTTACATACCTTCTTTATTACCTACAGCAAGTCCCAGATAAATTAGAAACAGTCCCATTTTCTTTCGTCTTCCTAATCTAATGCACTGCATCATTACTTCAATTACTAAGAAAATACTCCACTTCAACCTGCCTGAAAGCCCCCAATAACTTACAGCAAAAATAAAGCCACAAAGCAGCAAATGAAGTCCTCAGATGCTTCTCCATTCTTATTGTGGAGAGGTCTACCCCAAAAGCTGGCTTGTCTGTTCAATAATTCTTTCTTTATTTAAAAAAAAAGTTAAACAAAGAGATCCTCATGAATTCTCATAAAGCATGCCCAACCAATAACCTGTCTTAACAGCCCTACACACACTCACACCCACTGTCAGGACCAGTACAAACACTGCCATCTTGGGGTCAGAACTACAGTTCCTAAGTATCTCTGATTAAGCTTTAGGTTTCCTTGCACTTGTAAGGTAATATAAGATGTGAGCCCTGAGTGTCCATGTAAAACAGTAGATTAGTAATTAAGACATGTGTTTGAAAATGTCTGTCTGAATTCTGGCTCTACGTGATATTTGTAGAAGAATTAAGCTCAACTTTGCCATCTGAAGATACATACAGAAACTCGCAAGAATCTCTAACATTTTTTTTTTTATTATTCACATCTAAAGCTTATAGCAGTGGCTAGCAAAAACCTTTTCCTCAAATAAAACATAAGATTCCTTGTAACAGGGATTTTTATCCATTCTATTCTCTATCCTATCCTCAGTTCCTAGAATAGGACCTGTCAAGAAATGGAAACAACAAATTTGTATTAAAAAAACGAAGGGTAACTTTTGTTCTAGTAATGAGAGTGGTACTTTTTCTTTTTTTTTTTTTAGAGGTTTTTTTCGCTATAGGGTGCGTGCGCTTGCCAGACAGACAGAAAGAGACAGAGAGACAGAAAGCAAGAAATCACCCCCCAGGGGGGATGGCCATGCCACAATCCCTTCTCCTCCATTCTCCTCTCTGGATCTTGGGCACGCACGCACACACGCCTGGCGTGCGTTTAAGCCACCGAGTCTGGCACTCGAACTGCGGTCGACTACGTGGGAGTCCAGAGACATAGCCATTATGCTAACTGCTGGTTCCCGAGAGTGGTACTTTTTGTCATTCGTGTATAATTCAACAATTATTTTTGAAATGCCTACTGCTTTTTTGGTATGGTCATATGAAGGGACTTCAAAAAGTTCATAGAAAATGAAAATAAAGTGCAAATTTATTTTGATGCAAAAATATATCAAAATCGTCACATAAATTGGTTCAGAATATATATTTTACAGGAACCTTTTGAAGACTTCTTGTACCATCCAAAATCATAAGAAAGCTAATATATTATTCACATCAGACAAAGTAGGGTTTCCTGAAAAGAATCATTAGAGATAAAGAGGGTTGGGTGGTTAGTTTTATACATCCCCTTTGCTAAGCCACAGTTCCCAGATATTTGGTCAAACATGGGTCTAGATGATTCTGTGAAGATATCATTTAGATGAGAAAAACAATTAAATCACTGTACATAGAATAAAGCCAATTATCCTCTATATGAGTGTAATCTAATCAACTGAGGGTCAGCATTTCCATCTGTCCCAGCCTGAGAGCCTACCCTGCAGAATGTGACTAGCCAGCCACCACAAGTGCATGAGCCAATCCCTAAAAACAATACCTCGAGCTTTTCTTGCTCCCTGGCATGTTGGTGGCTACTCTTGATTGGGGGCCGTCCCACACCTGAGGCAGGAAGATGGTGGCCACAAAGTCATCAAAAAATCATTGGAGTTGTTCAGCTCCAAGTTCCAACTTGTGAAAAGTGGGAAGTATGTAGTGGGGTACAGACTCTGAAGATGATCAGATAAAGCAAAGCAAAGTTGTTCATCCTCATCAACAACTGCCCAGCTATGAGGAAATCCAAAATAGAGTACTATGCCATGCTGGCCAAAATTGGTGTCCATCACTACAGCGGAAATAATATTGAACTGGGCACAGCATGTGGGAAATAAACAGAGTGTGCACACTGGCTGTCATTGATCCAGGGGATTCCCATATCACTAGAAGCATGTCGGCACAGCCTGGTGAAAAGTAAATCATGCAGCATTTTTCTTTAATTAAGCATGCCAGAGTTTGTTTTGAAAACAAAACAAAATGGCAACAACAACAACAGAAACAATACCATGCTTTTGCTCGCTCTCTCTCTCCTTTATTTCTATTTTTTCTTCTCTTTCTCTATACATACACACACTCTCACACACACACACATTGATTTTTTTTTCTAGAAAATCTTGACTAATACAAAGTTATTTAAAAATAATGAAGAGATTTCATATCCAAAGATATCATTTCTAGGAGATGGCTACTGAACTTGAGTTGTGAAATATTGTTTTTAGGGACTAACAATGAAGATCTTCTGCTGAGACTTCTCCCTCCAGATTCATTTCTAATGGAATATGACACACTAAGAGTGAAAAGCAGAATGAAAGAGAGATGGCAGATTACTTCCTCCTGCATGCCTCTGAATGCTCAGTTTGAACTTCAAGAACTAGGAAGAAACACAGAATCTATCAGATGACCAGAAATCACTGCAGGACCACAAGAAATATAAGAAAGCAAGAAAATACCTCTCCTCCAAGGGAAAAGAATAACTCCTCTTCACTCTCAGACAGTACAATGGAACTCATAGAAATGTCAGATAAAGAATTTAGAATATTCATAATGACAAAGCTAACAGAGATGCAAGAGAAAAGAGACAACAAACTGCAGAAGGGGCAGGAGAAAGGAGTTGATGAGTTCCAGGAGGTCAGGAAATTCTTGCAAGTTCTGAAAGAGGAACTATACACTAAAAAAGAATCAAATGGACTTGTTAGAGATGAAGGCTGTAATACAGGAAGTCAAAACCTCCCTTGAAAGTACTAAAAGCAGAGAACCAGCAGTTAGCGTAATGGCTATGTCTCTGGACTCCCACATAGTCGACCATGGTTCGCGTCTCAGACCCGGTGGCTTAAATCTCACGCCGGGCGCGTGTGCGTGCGTGCCCAAGATCCTGAGAGGAGAATGGAGGAGAAGGGATTGCCCCCCTGGGGGGTGATTTCTCGCTTTCTGTCTCTATGTCTCTCTCTGTCTGTCTGGCGAGCGCACGCGCCCTATAGCGAAAACCTCTCCAAAAAAAAAAAAAAAAAGAAAGTACTAAAAGCAGACTAAATCATACCAAAAATTGAATCTCAGATGTAGAAGGTAGAATTGCTGGCCTAGAAAAATCTACCATGAAGACTGAGAAAATTGCAAAAAAACAAAAAAAAATGAGACTACTATACAAGAAATACTAGATATCACCAAATGACCAAACATCCAGATAATTGGCATCCCAGAAGGTGAAAAGACTCATGAGGGCATTGATAATCTATTCTATGAAATCCTGGAAGGAAACTTTCTGAACCTAGTAAGGCATTCAAAGATCCAATCCCAAGAAATACAAAGGACCCCAAATAGAATCAACCCAAGATCTTCTACAGACACATTATAGCCAGATTGACCAAATCACAGAGAAAGACAAGACACTAAGATTGTCAAGAGAGAAACATCAAGTTACCTACAAAGGATATCCCATCAGGCTAACAGCAGACCTCTCACTGGAAAATATGCGAGCCAGGAAAGAATGGGAAAATATATTCAAAGTGTTAAGGGAAAAGCAATTTCAACCAAGAATACTGTACCTGGCAAGATTATCCTTCATATGGGAAGAAAAGACAAGGACATTTTCAGATAAACAAAATCTGAAAGAATATACCAACACAACACCAGCTCTCTCTCTCTCCAAGAAATTCTGAAGAGAGTGCTATACCAGGAAAACTAAATATAGACACACAGAAATAAGAGTTCAAAAAACCACTAAGAAAATGGCCAGCATAATTGTGGGGACAAGTCTGGAGTTGAATATTATATCCCAAAATTTAATCAGGAGGACCAAACCACACAGAAGATAGATTAAGTACATAAAAATGAACTGGTGAAATAGAATCTTATGACTTTTGACTAAAATATTACTGATTTTCTTCTAAGCTTTGTTTTCTGGACTTATACATTTGTGTCTTGTCTTGAACTGCTGATAGGTTCATGTATCTACTATTTGAACAGAATCCTAACCTGTTTCCTGGCTTTAGGTTTAAGCAAAGCTCTCTTAGCATTTCTTTGATTTTGTTTTTTAATTCTAAAACTACTTTTTTAAAATTAAGAAATACATCAAAAATACCTATTTAATGACCATTGTAAGCTATATAGCATCAGGTAGTGCTACTTTATAGTATATTCATTCTACTCAGAGTTTCACACCTGAAGTCAGACATCTGTTCACAGATATATATACATATACATATATATATCAGCTGAACTTGCTATTGAAAATAGATTATTTAAGATATTTTGTGAATCAATAAAATGTGGGAGGAAGGGACCAGCAGTTAGCATAATGGCTATGTCGCTGGACTCCCAAGTAGTCGACTGTGGTTCGCGTCCCAGACCCAGTGGCTTACAACTCACACTGGGCGCATGTGCATGCGTGCCCAAGATCCCGAGAGGAGAATGGAGGAGAAGGGATTGCGGCATGGCCATCGCCCCTGGGGGGTGATTTCTCACTTTCTGTCTCTCTCTCTGTCTGTCTGGAGAAACTATAGACACCAGAGGTAGTGTGGAAGGAGGGTAGGAAATGTCAGAGGGTGAGAAATAGGGGAAAAAATATATATATATGAAACTAGAAATGGAAAATTATCAACAATAGCATGTATGATTAAGCCACCATGTAGTATATTCTGGATGGGAAATCACATTTGGTATGCTGTGACAATATTCAGTGAATGAATGTAAAATTAATTAATTAATTAAAAATAAAAATAAATAGGGACCAGCAGTTAGCATAATGGCTATGTTGCTGGACTCCCACGTAGTTGACCGTGGTTCGAGTCCCGGACCCAGTGGCTTAAACTCACGCTAGGTGCATGTTTATGCATGCTTAAGATCCTGAGAGGAGAATGGAGGAGAAGGGATTGCTGCGTGGCCATCCCGCCGGGGGGTGATTTCTCTCTTTCTATCTCTCTGTCTCTCTCTGTCTGTCTGGCGAGCGCACATGCCCTATAGCAAAAACCTCTCCAAAAAAAGAAAAAATAAAAGAGAAAAGAAAAAAGATAAAAAGAAAAATAAAAATAAATAAAAGGAGAAATAGACTGCAAAAAAGGATATCATTTTAAAATTATACATACCTGAATATACAGATTTGTTGTTTGTAGATTTTACATACTTTAGTGAATATTTGCTATATTTCACTAAAAAAAAAGGTGATTGTTAAGTGTTGATGGTGATAATATTGCAGCCCAAATAAATGATGAATTCCCTCAGAGACATTTACTTCAGGAAAGGACTAAGACCCAAAATGAGTTAGACAAAGTCAAGAGAGACAGGATGGGGGACACAGGACAGAGAGCGAGAGATAGGAAGAGAGAATTTCCTTAAAACAGACCTGTTCACACTCGCTCTGCTTATATTAGGGGCGCTATGTTTGAAATAAAAGCAATTTTTAACAACCCAGTCAGAAGGCCAAGGATAGTTACTACAAGGGATGTTTGCAAACTTCGTCTGGAAGCATACGGAGTTACAGAAAAACTTCAAACTTTTCTCCCAAAGCAATGGCAGGATCTCAACATAGACAACAGATTTCAAGGCATTTCCAGTAGTTGGGACTTCAGAGTTCTAACCCAAATAATCAATATTATTGTTGTTCTCTGAAGCTGGTCATCTCTTTCCCACTCTTGTGTGAACCACTTGTGTGCCCGCCTAGCACCTTGTCTGTGTTGTTTCAATTCCAAACAATGGGCAGATTTGGGTGAACAGGTAAATAGCTTACACTGCATGAACTGATGCTTTTCCTCCTTCTGTAGTGGTGTCTCTTTCATTATCACATTTTCTCTCTATTTCTATAATGAACACAGAGTTGACTAGATATACACAAAGGGACCTTGAAAAGTTCATGGAAAAATGGAATTATAGATAAAAATAAGGACCAGCAGATGGCGTAGGTTTGAGTCCCAGACCTGATGACTTAAAACTCAAGCCAGGTGTGTGTTCACCCAAGCTCAAGATCCAGGAGAGTGGAGGAGAAGGGATAGTGGCAAGGCCATCCACCCTAGGGAAGTGATTTCTCACTTTCTGTCTTTCTGCCTCTCACTGTCTATGGGCAAATACACATGTTCTATAGCAAAAATTTCTCAAAAAAAAGCTAAAAATAATAAATATAAACTTTATTTCTCAACATAAGGTCCATCAAGTCTATATGAAAAAGATAGTAATACAGTTGGAAATGGGCAGATATATGAATGGACAGTTTATAGAAAAATATATACAGTTTTTAATGTACTAACATAAGCACCATCTCAGTAATAATTAAATAAATAATTTTTTAAAATAAAAGAATTCCCAACTGATAAGGTTTTAGCATAACTGGTATTGTGCCAAATCACCACTGTAAGTGGGCATAAATTCATGAAATGTGTCTAGAAGACAATTTGGTTGAACCTTAAAGACTACTATGATGCTACAGACCTGCTCCAGCTGGGGTGGGTTGCAGCTCATAGGAAAGAGATGCGGGCGATAAGGAATCAGGCAGAGACCTCAATGCTCTTTACCATGTTCTCAGTCAGAGCAAGCTCAAGACTGCAGTGTTAGTGGTTAGGAGCCATACGTATTTATTGGATGCCTGTATTTTATTTGCTGAATTTCTGTTAATCAGTGAATTCTTGTGCTTTATCTTTGAATCCCTGTCATGGTGGTGGATGCACTAACTCGGCCTAACATAAGCTAACTTGGCCTGTAGCCTTAACAAGGGGCATTTACGCAAAATTAGTCTTAAACTAACTTAGTCAACATATGCTAATTATGCTAATTTGGCTTATACTAACTCAGTCTCACACATGCTAATTTGGCCTGACTCAGGCAGGTGGGATGAGTCTCACAAAGTAATTTCCTGATCACAGTCACCTTAGGGAACCGCATTCCTTCAGGATTACTAATTGGCTTTATTGTAAAGTTGCAGTAAGGCTGGGAGTGTTATTTTACCCTTACAGGGTACCAGGGTACCGGGATACTATAAAAACAGTAAAGCCCATGGCAGAGAGATTGAAAGCACAAATCAGTACAACAAACACAGTTGAAAACCTGAGCTTGCAGCTGTGGTCCTTGCCTGCAGCTCTTCTCACCCAAGCCTTGCTTAGATATGAGAGACAGCTCTTTTAGACCCTGCCTGTGTAGGCTGCATGGTCTCCGCCACTATGAATATTTTTATTTTCTTGAGTAATATTTTATTTTCCCTAATGTGAATAATTGACTAATTACTATATTCTCCTTTTTTGTTTGTTTTCTTGCCTTTTTTTACATGCTCTTTTATATCAACAACTAACTTTCAATTTTCTGCTTGATTTGAGTGTTAGAAATGATCTCAGCTTGTTATACAGGGAGTGATGGAGAACATGGGTGGTTTATCAACAAATTTCTTCACTCAGTCTTGCCATTTTCATTTCCTCTCCCAAATATCCTTAAAACACACTCACTTGGCTTCATCTTCCCCAATTATTCAATGGTAATTGGTGTTTCTCATTCCTAAACCTTTCCACAAGACACAGAGAATTGCTGTGTTCTTTGTTGTTTTTTCCCACTAGGCTTGGTTTCTTCATTATCAGATCTGAAATGTATTTTTATTTCTCCATGTACCTCTCTCATCCTATAAAATATTTGTTAATATTACTGTGTGTGTTGTTACCTCTTTTCTGCTCTCTCAATTGATTTATGCCCTTTTTAATTTCTTTAATGACTTTTTAGTAAGGTTTCGTGATATAAGAGATAGATATTATGTTTAACTTTCTATTGGCACTGAAAAACTGTCTCACCTGAGACCTTGATAGAAAACAAATTGGTCTATATTACTCATCAGGGAAAAGGAGATGGGGCATTGTTCATGATTTAGTCATTTATTCAATTATGTTTTATAACTCCTACCCTTCTTTTTGAACATTGGCTTATATCTACCATCTGATTTACTAGAAAAGAAACTATGATAAATGTCCTTTTCCTCTTTCATTGTTTGGTTACATATGAGGTTCTGTTCCTCCTCTTTCTTCTTTTCCCTTCTTTCTCTATTAAGAATCCTGAGGATTTTTCTTTCCTCGAGTGTTCCTATCTCTTCTCCTGCCACCCTGTCAGAGAAATATCATAGATGCCACCTTCTTTAGCACACTTTGGCTCTCTAAAAGTATCTTCAGACACAGCAGTATGCACCCGGATACCTTAGGACGAGACGTGGGAACTGGACTGTGCCTGCAGCCGTAAGCATAGAGACCACCTCATCGTTTCTGTGACTTCTCCCTTGAAATTATATTAGCCCAGATTAAGGAACTATTGAAGTTAGACTGTTTTTCCTGATAAAGTTTTACTGATTTTACTAATGAGAAATTGGGCAGGGGCAAGGGGCTGTTCACTCTTTGTCCTTTTTATCCAGCCATTTGTATGATTTTCATATTACCCAGAAAAACTGAAGGACACACAGCCACAGACTGTGCTGAAACCACCGTGGATAAGAGTCAGACCTGAGCAGCCGGGTCCTTTGTGCTGCTTGGAGTTTGTGCCCAGCTCCCCCTGCAGTCGCCGTCTCCGTCGCTGTGTCACTCAGAGCACAGTAGTACACGGCTGAATCTGACTCTTGAACTGAAGCTTTCTTCAAGTGGAAGGAGGTCTTGTCTTTATCGTATGTGGCTTCAAATTCTTTGTTGCTCCCCTTTTCATTGGCCTTCGTAGCTTTCAGGAGAAGCTGTGGACCTTCCCCTGGATACTGGACATACCAGAAAAGGGTAGGGTACCCTGTGGCTGAATAAGTGCAGTTTATCGTCAAAGAAGTCCTTTCTGAGATGGTCATTTGGCCTTCCATCTGGGTCACGGAGTCTCCTTGGGCTTTTCCTGTGAAAAAAAGAAATATATGTCATTTTAGGCACAAAGCATTTAAATACAATTATGGTTAAAGACTCTACTGACATAGTAGAAAAAAAGAGTCCAAGTTTTATGAGGCATTTTACTTACCAAGCATAAGGAGTACAACGGTCACTAAGCTTGGAGAAGCATTCATTTTCAGAGTGTCGCCTAAATAATGTTCTTGGTGGTTAACATGAAGAAATGTTGAAGTCGCCCTGCAATGATAAATCTAAACCTACAGTTCACACAGGAAATGTATTTGTGTTAGGACGCTGCACCCCCTAGTGGGCAGGGACTGAACTGGGATAAGTGCTTTCCTGGACTCCTTCCAAAACTCAGAAATAGCCCATCTAAACCTACCTCAATATAAACTAGTATAAATTGTAAAGAATGCTTGTCTTTTTTTTTTAAGTTTTTTTCTGTAGGAGACATGGAGAGGCAGAGAGAGACAGACTGAGGTAAAGTAAGAAATCACACCCCCGAGTGGCAACACCACACCACAATCCCTTCTCCTCCACTCTCCTCTAAGGATTTTGGGCACACACCCACATGCACCTGGCGTATTTTTCAAGCTACCAGGTCCAGGAGTCAGCTATGTGGGATTCAGCACACTTACCACCATGCTGGCCCAGGAATGCTTATTTTTTGCTGTTTTTTTTTTTTCCCCTATCAACTTTCTTTTATTTATTTATTTTTTCACAAAACGATAACCCACCAAGACCAATTTAGGTTTATTTAAGAAAAGAATACAAGGGAAAAAGAAAAAAATTATAAATTGGAATTTATTACACTTAATAGATAAAAGGAGAAAACCACAAGATATTCTCAACAGATACAGAAGAAAAAAAAATGACATTACAAGACTTCCCTAACTTAATAAAAGCTATCTACACAAACTTGTAGACAATGTTCTTCTTTTTTTTTTTTAAGAGAGATTTTTGCTATAGGGCATGTACACTCACTGGAGAGACAGAGAAACAGAAAGCAAGAAATCATCCCCCACGGGAGATGGCCACACCACAATCCCTTCTCCTGTAAATATTTAGGGTATATACACCACACACACATCAACTGTGAGTTTTAAACCACTGGATCTGGGACACAAACCACGGTCAGCCTTGTGGGAGTCCAGCAACATAACCATTACACCATCTGCTGGTCCCACCGATGTCATTCTTAGTAGGGAAACATTTCTCTTAAAATTGAAAATAAGACCTATTTGGCCATACTAATCACTTCCCTTTTTTTTCTTTTGTGTATATGTACACACACACACACACACACACACACACATACACACACATATTTTAAAGATGTTTAAAAGGGAAGCCATGGTAAAGTCAGTGATTTGGTGACTTACAGGCTTTACAATGTTTTTTATCTTAGCTTTCTTTAAATTCATTCCAAAGAAAGATTCAGCTGCTTATAACATTTTGGGCTTTTCCTCTGTATCTAGTTTTATACAATGAATAAGAGTTATGATAAATATATAAATTGAGAGACCAGCAGTTGGTGTAATGGCTATGTCACTGGACTCCCATGTAGAGGACCGCAGTTCAAGTCGTGGACCGGAAGTCTTATGCCGTACATAAATTACAACCTGTGGAGACAACTGTCTATCAAATAGGTGAATTTGCACTAAAACCTGCTTGTGTGTAAAATGGTTAAATCTACATAGTTAACCTTTTAGTAGGAAAATATAATCCTGTCAATTCTATTATTGATGTGTGTGGGCTTTCTTTTTGTCTAGTTGTTTTGTGTTCTCTTACTTCTATTTATTTCCCTCTAATTTTCCTGGTATAGTATTTATTCCCTTAAATATTTCCTAAAGAGTTTGTTCAGTTTGAGCAAATTCTTTCAGTGTTTGTTTATTTGAGAATGATTTTATTTCTCCTTCCCATTTGAAAGATAATCTTGCCAGGTATACTGTTCTTGACAGAATTTTTTTCTTTCTGTGTTTTGTTTGGTTGTTTGTTTGTTTTTGGTGAGGTTTTTGCTATAGGGCACACATGTTTGCCAGAGAGACAGAGAGAGACAGAGAGACAGAAGTGAGAAATCACCCCCCAGGGGGGATGGCCACACCGCAATCCCTTCTCCTCCATTCTCCTCTCAGGATCTTGGGAACGCACACACATGTGCCCGGCACAAGTTGAAGCCACCGAATCTGAGACTCAAACCGTGATCCACTACGTGGGAGTCCAGCGACATAGCCATTATGCTAACTGCTGGTCCCTTTCTTTCAGTGTTTTAAAAATATCTTTCCATTCTTTCCTTGCCTGCATTGTTGCAGTTGAGAGAACCAATGTTAGTCTAATGGGGTACATTTGTGAATAACTTGGTGTTTCTCTCTTGACATGTTTAGGGTATTGTCTTTGTCTTTGATTTTTACCAACTTGGCTATGATATGCCTGGGACAGGGGTATCATTCTTATGTTATATCCATTGGAAGTCCTTTGTATTTCTTAGACTTGGATATTCACATGCCTCTCTAAATTTGGAAAGTTTTCAGCTAATATATTGGGTTATCAGAAAAGTCATGATGCGTTTTTGTCTAGAAAAGCATAGAAAAATACATCATGACTTCTCCGATGACCAATATCATGAAAGAGAGTTTCTATGCCTTTGCCTATCTCTTCACCTTCTGGAATGTCTATTATGGGGATATTCAGGTATTTAATGATATTTATGATTTCCCACATGTTGTCATGATTTTCTTTTCTTTTTTTTTTCTTTTTTTTTTTTTTAGAGAGAAATTTTTGCTACAGTGCATGTGCACTTGCTAGAGAGACAGGGAGAGACAGAGAGACAGAAAGTGAGAAATCATTCCCTGAGAAGGGATGGCCATGCCACAATCCCTTCTCCTCCATTCTCTTCTCAGGACAGGGCACACACATACACACACCCAATGTGGGTTTTAAACAACTGGGTCCAGGACTCAAATCATGGTCAACTACATGGGAATCCAGTGGCAAAACCATTACGCCATCTGTTGGTCCTGGTCCTGATTTTTAATGGTTCTTCTTCCATTCTTTTCAGTTGATTGAACTAAATCAGAGGTTTTGTCTTCAAGGTCAGAGACTCTTCTGTGTGGTCTAATCTGCTGCTGATACTTTTGACGGAGGTTTTTATTTCCTGCATTACATCTGTATTTCTAGAAGTTCTGTTTAATTCATCTTCAATGTTGTCTGTCTTTTTATGGAATTCCTCTTTCAAGTCATGGAAGGATTTTCTCATTGCCTGGAACTGACTGTCTGTTTTCTCTTGCATCTCATTAAGTTTTGTTACCATGAATATTCTAATTTTTTTCTAACATTTCTACTATTTCTTATTTTTTATCCATTGTTGTGAGGGGTTATTATGTTCCCATGTGGAGGAGGCATTTTCTGGTTTTCTCCTATTTCTTCAGACTCTTCTTTGATGTTTAATCATCCGATAATATACCCATTCTTCCTACCTCTTTGGAGTATGTTTCTGTAGCTGTGTGCTCAAGCCCTTCTCTATGATGTGCATTAGCTTAGCACCAGTTTCCCTCTCTACTAACAATGGGAGTGCAGATCCACAGTTTTGATTTTTCAGAGAGGAATTTCTCTCCTTTTACTGTCAGGGATTCATGGGGAGAGAATTCCTCCTTTCTCCTGTCTTCAGGTATTTGATTCTGGTATACCCAAACCTTCCTGCACTCAATGTGAATAGAAGTTGATCTGGAGAGGTAGAATGTATGGTGGTAGACTACTTTGCACAGGACTGTGCCCGCATGGGCCAGAGTAGCTCATCCTCTCACAGAGTATGCTGAGTCAGGGTCCCTGATGAGCTTAAGCTTAGCAGTTTGGACATTCCTATTGCTCTTGGATGGGTGAGGGGCAGAATAGCAGCTCCCACCTTTTATCTCTTCTGACTCTGGGACTGCAGAAGTTAGGTATTTCTCAGAGACCAGAGCAAGGCAGAAGTAGTCCTTTCTTACCCGCAGCAAGCTGAGCAGGGGTCCCTGATAATCATTGTTGCTACAACCAGACATTCCAATTGCATGGGGGACAGGGAAGAGTGGGACACTCCAGATCCCAGTTAACACACCTGAGAGTTCAAAGTTATGCACGAGGTGAGCCATGATCTCTCTGCAGTTTCATCTCTCTGATGCTCACCCTGCAACCTGCACTGTTGTTGCTCGAAATAGATATTTCAATCTTAGTATTTTCAATTACCAATTGAACATTCTTTAAAAAATATGTATCTAATTTCAAATTTTACATTTCGTTCAGCATTAGAATATTTATTTGTGGAAAGATGTTTTCCTTGGGGCCAGCAGGTAGCAAGATAGTTAAGGTGCTGGACTCCCATATGGCTAATTGTCGTTCAAGTCCTGGACCCAGCAGCTAGAAAATTACACCAGGTACATGTGCATGCATGCCTAAACTCCCAAGAGTAGAGAGGAGAAGGGATAATGGCATGATCGTCTTACCTGGGGGAGGGGAATTTCTCACTTTTCTCTGTATCTCTCTGATTTTCACTTCTCCTGTGAGCGCACATAGCCTATGACAAAACAAAGAAAAACAAACAAACAAAAAACTAAAAAACATGTATATGTAAAATGAAGGGAACTGATATTAAAGTTATAAATTTATTACACTATGAAATTCAGGGGCCAGCAGGTGGTGTGGTGGTTAAGGTGCTAGACTGCCACATGGCCAACCATGGTTTGAGTCCCAGACCTGTGGCTTACATTCTCGCTTTCTCTGTCTCTCTCTTTCTTTGATCAAATCAAAATAGGAGAGGTGTCTGAATAACAAATGTAAAGTCATTAGAAAGCCTGAATTTAAAAATAAAGCATCACTAATGCCCTTTAAGAATTCATTCAGGGACCAGCAGTTAGCGTAATGGCTATGTTGCTGGACTCCCACATAGTCAATGGTGGTTCAAGTCCTGGACCCGGCGGCTTAAACTCATGCTGGGCGCATGCGCGTGCGTGCCCAAGATCCCGAGAGGATAATGGAGGAGAAGGGATTGCAGCATGGCCATCCCCCCGGGGGGTGATTTCTCGCTTTCTACCTCTGTCTCTCTCTCTTTGTCTGGCAAGCACATGCACCCTATAGCAAAAACCTCTCCAAAAAAAAAAAAAAAAAGAATTCATTCAGTGCAGCTTCCAGATTGTTAACACATGGTGATGCATCCCAGGTAGCATCCCTGGAGATAGTGTGGAAGCTCCCTGCCATCTCCCCCATAGATTGGTCTGTGCATCTCTTCATACAGCTGTCAATTTTTCAATTCGTTCATGTACATCAAAACATCATGTTGTACACCCATATATACAATAAAAAATAAACTTATACACAATAAAAAATAAACTTAAAAAATATCTATTTAGCAACAATCAACAAACAAAATGTTCTAACCCTTTCTAGAGTTTGACTCTAACCTATTTATTATATGCTTTTATTGCCCATGTGTCAGTTTCCACTTGTAAAGAAACACTATGACAAATGCTGCATTTGAAGACCTGTACAGAGGGCAGGGGCGGGGCTTCAGCTGCAGCCTTGGGTTTGGGTGCAGGCAGCAGGTGCCCGGGAAGCACTGTGCACTGGCCGCGCAGAAGTAAACGGCTGCATCTCCAGGTTGGGTGGCCGCGATGTGCAGGGAGAAGAGTTTCTCTGTCTTATCTAAAAAAACAGTGAGTCTTTGGTTGTGGTTTTTGTCCCTATTTTCACGAATATCTATAATGAGCTGGGGACCTTTTCCAGGTTCTTGCTTATACCAAGGGAAGTAGCTTGAGGCACTGTCAGAATAAGAACAGTTGATGACAGAGCTGTCTCCCTCCAGGACACGCAGAGTAGAAGGACGCTGCTCCACGTTCTCTCCACGGCTCACCCCTAGGTGGGAAGAAAAAGTCAGAGACGGGTCAAGAGTTGCCAAGTCAGTACTCTCCAGAATTTTCTTTTTCTGCAGTAACTATAGGAAATCTGAATAAAGCCACTCTCCTCCCCACACTGCTAAAGAACAGTCCTAAAAATAAACGCTGATTCCCCAAACCCTCAACTCACAGTCCAGTGGCAGCCACAAGAACATGAATACAGCTTGAATGGGTTTCTTCATTGTTCTTCCAAGTTAGGATCAGTCATAGATCTGCAACCTCCAGACTGGGGGGCGATGTCTACTATCAGATCACCCCTTTTTTTTCTCTAACAGTCTTAATGGTTTCTCACATTGGGAGCCCTAGCCAATAAGGAAAAGGTTCTGCTCCTACTGTAAACCTATTCATTCAGAACCCACCCACCTACCCTCCACACATTCTGCATTAGAAATAGCGTGTCACCATCCTGTGGTCACATCCCTAACTACTGACTGGGTGGTAAATGTTTTGCTCTCAGCGATGGGGGACTTAGGTGCATAAGAGCTGCAATAGGACCAACAAATTAAATGTTAGATCTGAGGTTAAATGCACAGTAAGAATGTAGTTATTAAGATTTGTATTTATGCACACTACTAAGTCATTATTGAAAAACTGGAAAGAACTAGATGCTGTTGGTGTATATTCAAAAATGGGTTGAGGTTGAAATCAAGAAAGCACCATGATTCACTCCCCTAAACAAAGAAAACAAAATACCTTTTTAAAAATCAAATCTACAACCATGATTTTATCTACTGCAGAGAAAAAAAATCTACAAGGAACATGTGAGCCAAAGACCAGAGCAAGAAAGGAGCACTCAGTGTTTCAAGTGCACATTGATTGTCTCACACTCTGCCCCTCCAAGACCATTCCACTATCTAATATTTCTATCTAGTATTTCTGGGATGATCCCTGTCCAAACTCAAACCAGAAGTAGAGACTCAATCCTTGGAATGGGTTCCTTTCCGGGTTTTCATTCCACCTGTGTTACCAGTGAGGTTGACAAGTTTAGAAGAGTCTAAATTTGGAGTAAAATTAATAAAATGGGACTTCACTCACTATAAATATTGTCATAGGTTATATAGGGGTGAACTCCATGACTGAGCCATGGGTAAAAATACGCTTCCTTCTGAGATCTATTTCTTAAATGTAAATCTGTAGCATCTCCTATCTTTGTTGTAAGAAGAAAAAGAAACAACAAAAAACCACTGTGTCAACTTGGAAAACCTCGAAGTGGAGGAGTTTAGTAGTATGTAAAGCTGAAGACATTTTTTTTCAAACAGCCTGATTGCAGGGGACCCACTGGAAAATGAAACTCTGGGTTCTTTGTTCAAAAAGCAGGAAAGAGGTACCATCAGGTACAAAAATATTCTTAAAAGGCATTTTATTATGTATAGAACACAGAGTGTTGCTTATAATGATATATAATGACATAGAAGCAACAGCACAAACTTACAAACTGGAAAAAACATTTTGGTGATAATACTACTTTATTAATGTGATATCTTGATTAATCATAAGATCTCTCTGGCTCATTTTTCTTCAACTTAATTAGGGTTTCAACATTTATACTTTTAGCAACTTCCTCTTCAAACACTATAATTAAAAATCCTGTCAGTTGCTCATGGTAAATGTAAAATCACAAACAAAATTTTCCATTTCTAATTTTTAGAAGACTATGTCTGCTGATGAAACTGATATTGGACTTTCTAAGAGTATTTTATGTATTTTGACATTAGCAGATATAAATATCCAATAAATTCGTTTTAAATATAAACTTCAGAAGCCTAGGATTGGTATTTCTAGTGGAGAAAGTGTTCTCAATGTTATTAGAGAGAGGGAGAAAGAGAAGGAGAAAACACTCCCAAAGTGATTTGGCTATGCTGTAATCTCTCTCCATTTCTCCATCCTGTTGGGTTTTTAGGCATGCATGCAAAATCATTGGCATGTTTTTCAATACATTCAAACCACAGTCAGCCATGTGGGATTCAGCTCACTTTACCACTAGGCTAGAGGGCTAGCCCTAGTGGAACGGTTTTTCTAAAACATTTCAACTCTTCATAAAAATCAGTTTTATTTAAATCTGAATTTAATTTTAAGTGTAAATTTATATGTCAGCATTTTAATGTTACCTCTGACATTCTGTAACGTTGGGAGGTTGTGTAAAACACTGAGGAGGGCCTCACCACAGTGGCACAGGTAGCAGTGACCTGTAGTGCTGGAAGCCACGGGGCTGACTGCAGGTTCAGATCCAGAGTCAACCTGAAACACACTAGGTGCGTGTACCCTGGTCCTGACTAACTGGAAGGGCTGGAGGAAGGGGGTCATGGTGTGAGAAGACCTTCCTGGGGCTGCCTACCTCTGAGTCCCTCACACACTTTCTTGTTTTGTTTTTTTTTTCTTCATTTTAGCAGTTTTTTAATAAGAACGATATGTAAGATTATTTTACTCCTGCATCTTCTCGATTGTTTCTTCCTTATATTTGCCCTTTTCCTTTCCTACTTGGTGAGACTTGGCTTTCCAATCAAGGATCTTTTTGTGATCTTTGTCCAGCTTTTAGTCTGGTGATAACCACCTTGCTGGGGTGAATCCCCACATGGACCGTTGTGCCATTAGCCTTTTCCCAATGCACCTGCTGAATATAGATGACATATTTCTTCCTGTAAACTTGGGCCACTTTGCCAGTTTGCTGACCTTTATAATGTCCTCGCACAACCTGAACTTCATCATCCTTTCGGATGGGCGAAGATCGCACGTTGTACTTCTGCCTCAGCGCTTTGGAAAGGGAAGAAGACATTATCTTCCTTCAGATGTGGGAAGGTGCATTGAAATGCCTTTTACGGTTCTTGCTTTGGTCACGAAAGGATTGAACTTCATTTTGGCCGCTGCAGCTCCTGTGATGGCCGCGCCTCCCTCACACAGTTTCTCATATGCTACCACTCATGTGCTCTCTTTCATGAAAGAAAGAACATACACTTTGAAAAAAGGAAAGAAAAGAAACTGAGGAGGCAGATTGCAACGGTGTGGTAAAATGTGACACTGTGAGGCAATCCCACATGGGAAGGTTCCCAGTTCATGTCCTGAGACCTCCCTGAGTACGCTAGACACATAGCTGCCCGTGAGGGAGCCAGACTGAGGCTTGGATGGGGATGGATTAGTGTCGGGAACTTGGTGGTGGTGCTCTCTCTTGTCGCTTTCTCATCTGAGTCTTTCTCACTCATGGAAAAAATAAATGATACACTTTTGTTAAAAAAAAAAGCTGAAAGTGGTTTCACAATTCATACATAATTCAGAATGTTTGTTTATATATTATATCACGATCTCTTCAGTTACAAGGAAGATTAATTTTAGAATTATCTTTTATGCTACTAATTGGTTCATTCTAAACTTCACATGAAAAAAATGTTCTTTCCCATCAAGCTACTATCTTACATTTAATTTCTATTTCTAAGCCTGCACACATTCATTTTACAAGTTGCGTCTATTTGCAAAACCAGGGTTTCTAAACTTTCGAAGGTTCTAATATCTTTCCAATTATTGCAATATCTGTGCTTCATTGCAATGTTCATGGATATGATTTTATTTTGCAATAATTTACCAACAAAGATCACTGCCACCCACTTTGAGGCTCTACAGAGCACCAGGTAGCCCCAAGCATGCACGTGCACTCAGAGGAATGGGCCAGCCCACTCAACAGCTCACACAAGGCCCGCCGTGTCCTTGATCCTGAGCCTCGGGTTCTGATCTGAGTCCTGCTGACCTGAGGATCTTCTCTGCTCATGCACATGTCCTGTCCCCTTATTAGATATCACTTACAAAACATAAATTCAAAGATATAATTACCAAGAATTTTAAGACCGTGATAGCAGAACATCAATTCAAGCCCCAGGCCCTTCCTGAGAGACTTGTAAAACTGTACAAATCACAGTGCCAGAAAGCTGGTCCTGCACCCAGTTTCACGGGAGTCTGTCCATTTGTCTTCACCTTCATTTTCAGAGTCTCTCTTCTTCCTAGTCAATGCCCTTACATGAACATAAAAGACCCTGCTTGCATTGCAATTGACATAAAAGATCAGTTTGCATTGTAATTGATCCCCATTCAGGTTTAAACTTTAGATCTGGTTGTCAGAAATCTCCGTCTATGGCTACAACAGATAAAGGTCTCTTTGAAAATAATTCTGCTCCTTTTCTCAGACTTGGAGTGATAGTACCAACTCACAGTAACGAATTCATTCAAAATGTAGGAAGACAAATGGATTTTAATGTTCTAAAACGAAAAGTTTAATGAATTATTTCTTACAAGCTACTATTTATTTAATTTTATTTGTTATTACTATTGTTTTCATCTGACCAGAGAGAGACAGAGAGAGAGAAAGGGGGGGGAAATTGCCTTTTGTGATTCTGAAGTCTTTTATACCAGGTCTCTCAGAGAGCCAACTCTGAGGTCAGACTTCCTAAGTGGAGATCCCATCCCAGCTTCACTGGTTCCGTAATCACTGGAGCTCAGTCTATTCACTTACACACCATAATCCTCAGGCTATTTCTGTGCAAAGTCAGGCACTAATGTCACTACTCACATAATAACTGTGTATACGGACATGTATGGATAAAGTAAATTACGTGCTCTCTATTCTTTTATTAGAAAATTGAACCTCTGCAATTGACTTAAACTCTGGGTTATCTCTTTTTTATTTATTGACCAGTGTGTGTGTGTGTGTGTGTGTGTGTGTGTGTGTGTGTGTATTTTTTTTTTCTTAAGAGATTTTTGCTACAGGGTGCATGCACTCACCAGAAAGACAGAGAGAGACAGAGAGACAGAAAGCAAGAAATCATCCCCCAGGAGGGATGGCCACGCTGCAATCCCTTCTCCTCCATTCTCCTCTCGGGATCTTGGGCATGCACGCACACGTGCCCGGCGTGAGATTAAGCCACTGGGTCCAGCACTTGAACTGCAGTGGACTACATGGGAGTCCAGCGACGTAGCCATTATGCCACCTGCTGGTCCTCAATGACCAGTATATCTTTACGTAATTTATATATTCTCAGCCAGGGGAACCATTGTGATAAACTGGGTCCTAACATCTTTATCTGTTGCTCCAATGACTCCATTATTAGAGGTTTTTATTTTCTCGCATAGGGTTTCTGGGAGGGAAAGGGTACAAAAAAAAAAAGAAACATCAGTCTGGAAATATCTGAAATAAAAGTGCTAAGGTGTGAACCTGAAAGCTCAAAGCTGAGCAACTGCTGCTGTGCAGTCTTCCCTGTGGCAGGGGCCCGGCTGCAGTTTGAGCTCAGCCTGCAGGTGACCTGGGGGCACTGTGCCTCTGCTGCACACAGGTAGGTGCCTGAGTCTTCCAGGTGGGAGGCCGTGATGTGAAGGGTGCTATAGAGGTCCTTAGAATTAACTGTTGCCTCTACCCTCCCATTCTGTTTCGCCCCTGAAGCCACGAAAAACAGATTGATGAGGCTGCCCCCAGGATTCTGTCGGAACCACTGCACGTACTTTATAGCGGCAGAAAAATTACACCGCAGAGTAGAACCAGTTCCTTCTTGGAGACTCAGGACCGAAGGACTCTGCTCCACCTGGAACCCTCTCACCCCTGGTTGGAAAAGAAATACGTGTCATTTTAGGCACGAAGCTTTTAAATATAATTATGGTTAAAGATTTTGCTGACATGGGAGAAAAAGAGTCCAAGTTTAAGAGCCATATTACTTACCAAGCATTAGGAATATCACGATCACTAAGCTTGGAGAAGCATTCATCTTCATAGTTTCGCCTGAATAATGTTCTTGGTGGTTAACATGAAGAAACATTGAAGTCAGAGTGCAATGATAAATCTAAACCTACAGTTCACACAGGAAATGTATTTGTGTTAGGACCCTGCACCCCCTAGTGGGCAGGGGCTGAACTGGGATGAGTGCTTTCTGAACTTCCAAATGTCAAAAGTAGATCTCATCTAAACTAACCTCAGTCTAAACTAGCATCATCTGAAAAGAATACTTATCCTTTTTTTTTTTTTTTTAAGTTTGGGAAGATGGGAACACCACAATCTTTTGTCCTCTACTCTCCTCTAGGGAATTTGGACATAAACACACACACACACACACACACACACACACACACACACAATATGCATCTTGCATATTTTTCCAGGTACCAGGTCCAGGAGTCAGCAATGTAGGATCCAGCACTCTAACCACCACGCCTGCCTGAGAATGATTATTTTGTTGCTGTTGGTTTTGTTTTTGTTTTACATCAAGTTTCTTTCATTTATTTTTTAAAATTTATTGATTTATTTACTTTTACTTTTTTTTTTTTTTTTGGAGAGGTTTTTGCAATAGGGCGCGTGTACTCACCAGACAGACAGAGAGAGACAGAGAGACAGAAAGCAAGAAATCATCCCCAAGGGGGAATAGCCACACCGCAATCCCTTCTCCTCCATTCTCTTCTTGAGATCTTGGGCACGCACGCACATGCACCCATCGTGAGTTTTAAGCCACCAGGTCTGGGACGTGAACCATGGTTGACTACATTCAATAAGAATGCTTACAAATATTTTTCACTTGCAAAGGTATCAGGAAGGGAGAAAAGTTTATGTTTCAATTTTAAAAATTCTTTTTTAAAACAAATTGCTGAGGCCAACAACACAAAAGAAAACAAAAGTTTTTAAATCTGGAAGATAAAGCATCGAAGAAAATCGGTAATGTTAAGAAAGTCATAGATTTCTATTTCACCAGTTCAGTCTCCTGTAATCTCTTTTGTTGAATTTGCAGTGTTACTGTGGTCTGACCTTTCCATTAACATTCAACATTATTATTGATATTTCAGAACTCGTCCCTACCATTAAGTTGGCCTTTTTCTTGGTCACTTTTTGTTCTCTTATTTGTCTGTCTTAGTTTTCCTGGTATAGTATTCCCTTCAGAACTTCTTCAAGAGCTGGTCTGGTGTTGGTTTTGTTTTTCTGTGAACACTTTTATCTTTTCTTTCCATATGAAGGGTAATCTTGCTAGATATAGTATTTTTGGTTGAAATTGCTTTTCACTTAACACTTTGAATATGCTTTCCCATTCTTTCCTCGCTCACATTGTTTCCAATGAAAGGTTCGATATCAGCCTGCTGCGATATCCTTTGAAAGTAACTTAAAGTTTTTCTCTTTCCAAATTTAGTTTTTTATATCTGTCTATGATTTTGGTCAATCTGGCTATGATGTGCCTTGGAGAAGATCTTCTTGGGTTGATCATATGTGAGTTCTTTTGTATTTCTTAGGGTCTAGATATTTGAATGCCTCTCTAGGTTTGAAAAGTTTTCTTCCAGGATTTCATAGAATAGATTGTCAATGCCCTGATTAGTTTCTTCACCTTCTGGGATATCGATTATTCCTATGTTCAGGCATCTAATGGTATTTAGTGTTACTCATATGTTATTCTCATTTTTTTGGTTATTTTCTCAGTCTTTTTGGTGAATTTTTCTAGGTCAGAGGTTCTGTCTTCTACATCTGAGATTCGATCTGCATAATCTCATCTGTTTTTAATACTTTCAAGGGGGGTTTTGATTTCCTGTATTATAGACTTCATCTCTGTTTCATTTGATTCTTTTTTATTGTGTGCATTTTCTGTTTCAGATCGTGGAAGAACTTCCTCACCTCCTGGTACTCATTGTCTCTTTTCTCCTGCATTTTCTGAAGTTCATTGGCTCTCTTCTCTTCCATCTCTTTAGCTTTGTTACTGTGACTATCCTAAACTCTTTATCTGACATTTCCACAGGTTCCATTATGCTGTCTATGGATGATGAAGGGATGTTCTTTCCCATTGGGGGAGAGATTTTTTTTTAATTTCCCATATTTCTTGTGCCTCTGTGGTTGTGGTTTCTGGTCATCTGATGGATTACACTTTACTTTCTACCTTCTTGGAGTTAATTCTGAGTGTTAAAGGTGTGGGGAAGGAGATGGCCTGCAATATTTCTGCAGTTCTGTATCCCTGATCTTCACCAAGAAACCTGCACTTTTGTCCTTAGAACTGTGTATTAGGCCTCAAAGTTTCAAGAGAATAGGTGCACCAGGCCTGAGCTGCAGGGTTTAAAGTATTCAGACATTTTGCCACTGTGTACCTAGACCTGCCTAGACACTCAATGTGCAGGAGGTGAGAAGCAAGGTGAGAAAGCCATGTAAAAGAAAGGAAACAAAGGGAAAAACACACATACACACAAAAAGACAAAACAAAACAATGGAAAGGGGAAAATATTTTTTAAAAAAAGGTAAAAAAGATGAAAACAGCATGACATGCTAGCACACTGCATGAATGGCTCAGGACTAGGCCCAACTTAGACGCACGTGGATTCTGAAATTAGCAAGAAAAAGGAGACATCAGAGACAAGAGACAGTACTACTGATTTTTAAAAAACAATATATATATATATGTATATATATATGAAAGCTTTCATTTATTTATTACTATACATTTCACAGATAAAAGGAGAAAAATCATAAGACATTCTTGACAGATACAGAAGGAAAAGCAGGACATTACAAAAAATTCCTTAACTTAATCAAAGATATCTATAAACACTCAGACAAGGTTATTCTTTTTGTTTTTAAGAGAGATTCTTGCTATAGGATGTGTCCGTTCATTGGAGAGACAGAGAGACACAGAGAGAGACACAGAGACACAGAAAGTAAGAAATCACCCCCAAGGGGGATGGCCACACTGCAACCTCTTCTCCTCCCTCCTCCTCTCAGGATTTTTGGCATGTATGCACATGCATCCATTGTGAGTTTTAAGCCTCTAGGTCTAGCACTCAAACCTTAGATGGCCATGTGGAAGTTCAGCGACATAACCATTACACCAGCTGCTGA